AATGATGCTGAATTAAGGTCAATTTTAGGCTGATTTATGGTTGAATTTAATCTGAATGGCTATGTCTGATTGGAGTCGATCGGCGTCTATCGACATCTGAATTATTGCCAAATTGAGACCAGTTTTAGGCTGATTTATGGTTGAATTTAAGTTCTGAATGGCCATGTCTGATTGGGGTTGATCGGCGTCTATCGGCACCTGTTTATGCCGATCGGAAAACATGGCAAATCAGCCATAAATAGTATCAAAATTGGCCTAAAATCGGCCATCTGATTTTTAGCCGATTTGGACTATTTCGACTAGTGATGACCGTGAAAGAAAACGCTGAAGATTAGAAACTGAAACTAACAGCTGTAGAAAATCAAATCAAATCTTAAGGCCAAAACAGCCGCAGCAAAAGCCGCAGCAAGACCAAGCCATAAGATAACAACAGCTGCAGCAGGACTACATGAAACCGCAGCAGAACCAAGCCATAAGACAACAGCTGCAGTAGGATCATATGAGAACGCAGCAGAACGGGGCTTAGCAGAATCGACCTAATCAAGGTCGGAGTGATGAAAATATATCTCATGCTGCTGAGTTAAATAAATTCAAAATAGGTCTTTTACGGAAATTTCGTGCTAAAGTAGATAAATTCAAACATTCACTTTGCCCCGTATGTAATTAGAGTTTTCCATCAATAGTACTTATAAAGGGGAATGTTGTCGTTATTATTCTGAAAAAACATTACTAAAAAAATTCTCAAAAGAGAATAACATGGATCCAGGTGAAATACCTGAAGAGTTGCAGGGATTTACAGAAATAGAAGAGATGTTAATTGCGCGAGTATTCTCCGTAATGTCTGTTTATAGACTCCACGGAGAACAACTTGGGTATCGAGGAAATGTAATAAACTTCTCCCAAGATGTAAAAGAATTCACAACTCACTTGCCTCAGAATCCATCGTTATTAGATATACTTATTGTACGCCGCCAATCAACAAGTAGTTTAGAATTCAGGGATTTTAAAGTTCGTCGTGCTAAGATTACTCGTGCATTATATTGGTTGAAGGAGAACAATCGTTACTATAATGACATTACCATTGATGATGAAGTTCTACAATCCTTACCTGTTGATGGCTTTATTGATGACCGGCTTCAAGAGACTCAGATAGTTGAAGATTTGGATAATGATAAGAAAGATGATGTAATTACAGGTACCTTCATTCCATTACTTCCTTCAACTCATCGAGAAGAAGTCACCATATGAAACACCCTTAACCATGTGCAGAATAAAGACAGTCCTATCATAGAATAGCCACAAATAAGTAATTTTTCTATTAATGAATTTCAAACTCCAGGATATATTGCATACGTATTCCCAACCTTATATCCGACTGGATGCGCAGATCTTCATGCAGAACGTATTAGGGATGTGAAGCCTGCTGAGTATTTTAAATATCTTCTTCTATACAGAGATGGAAGATTTGTGCGTCATGCTCGTTAGAGATATTTTACCTTAAATTCCCAAATGCATTGGAAGGCACTACAAGAAGGTAAAGTATTTGTTAAACAAAATCTCACCGATGCACAAATTACCGTTTTGGATATTCAAGAAAGGATTGTCTAAGGTGATAGCCATATTGCCGATAGAATCATGCGATTTGGTGAAGGTCTACGCGGTTCTCAGCAATTTTGGAATGCATAGCGTTGGGAACTATCCGATATGATCAAACAGATAGGTTTACGAGGCTTAGTGTTCTTTACATTCAGTGTAACTATTTTGCACTGACCTGAACTTCATAGTCTCATGCCGTCTGATGAAAATCCCACAGAAGGAGAGACAGCATCTAGATGCAATCACCAAAACATCGTTAATAATCCTCATATTGCAGTTTGGTTTTTCAACAAGCGTTTTGAGATTTTTTTTAATGATGTTCTAAAACGGCAATGGGGTTTAGAAGACTGGTAGTATAGGATTGAATGGCAGCACCGTGTAAGCGTTCATGTGCATAGAATTGGAAAAAGACAAGATGCATCTGAAATAGAATAGGATAAAATTAAAGAAAATGAAAACAAAATGAACAAAGTAATTAAATACCTGGACACATTAGTTACTATGATAAATCTAGGATTAGATTCTCCAGTTTCTGACAGGCACCCATGTAAAAAACGTAGTGACAAACAATGCTACGACCAGCAAGATTATATTGATTTGATCAATAAGCTACAGTAACACACGCGGTGCAGCCCTTCATACTGTCTTCGCGTTAAAGATAGACAATAATCCTGCAGATTTGAGTACTCTAAAGAAAGTATTGAAAATACATTTATGCGCGAAGATAGTCACAGCCAGCCTGAACTTGTAACTAAAAGAAATGATCCAAGTATCAATACACACAGCAGACTTCAATTGCAAGGTTGGCATGCAAATATCGACCTAAAGCCAATCCTAAGTATACACGCAGCTTTGTAGTATATTTCGAAATATACAAGCAAAGCAGAATCGCGATCTTCTGCCTTCTCGGAGATACTGAATCAAATTCTTAGAAGTGGTGAACCTGATGACCCAATACTTACCTCAGTCCAGAAGTTACTACTCCACAGTGTGGCAAAACGTGACATTTCTGCTCAGGAAACTTGTCACCTCCTTCTTGGTATTTCACTATATCATTCAAGTCTGGATTTGTCTTCTTGAATCTCAACAAAGAAACACCAAGATGGATTTGCGGCATTGGGGAAAGCAGAGGCTTTACTACAGTAGATTCCGAGCAGACTGAAAAGTCACCTTTAGAAAGTTATTGGGAACAACCTACAGAACTTGAGAATTTTACATTATTTCAGCTTCATTTAAAATACAAATTTGCTAAAAATCATTGGAAAGAATGTAATCAAAAAAATGTCGTGCGTATCTTTTCACACCTATCACCCTTACGCGAAGGTCCTCAATGGGAAGAGTTTTATTGTGTAAAAGTTCTTCTTCATGTTCGCCACTGGGATCTCCAACAATTAACTGAAGAAGGAACTATTGTATGATCAACTTTATATGAAAGTTACCTCGAAGAGATCAATTCTGACCTGATAGATCTACTTGGGTTTCCTATAGATAATGAAGAAAATGAAATAATTGATGAAGAGGATGATGAACTACTTGAGAATGACGAACAAGACGAACGTTAACCTGATTGGATAGTTCTAGTGGAGATGGATCCAAACGCAGCCATTGAAAGTTTTTCTGACCTAGGATCTCGCAATATAAATCGAACCTATGATTGTATCGGTGATTGCAGGAAACGATACTCTAATACAGACTTAATGGATGCTGATACATTTGTGATCAGAGTTTCTAATAAGCAAAGGCGTAACGCTAAAGAAAAAGTGACTGACACTATAGACTATCAAACACTAAATGAAAAACAAAAGATAGTTTTTAAGCGAATAGAATCTCATTACAACAATATACTCAAAGGCTATCAAGTTGAACCACTAAGAATTATCGTAATAGGGACTGCAGGAACTGGAAAAACTTACCTTATTAATGCAATCTGAGATAGGCTTCACGAGATGAGAGAAACTGAATCTAAGTCACCTGTACTTATTCTTGCACTAACAGGTATTGCAGCTTTTAACATCAACGAGGTTACGATCTATTCGGCACTTTCCATTCCAAGACTTCAGAGATCTCCTTTTAAGGTTGCGTGATGGAGAATCTACATTAGATGACTAGAAGGCACTTGTTACACAGTTTAAAGGGAAACTAAGCAGAGCAGAGCGTAGTAGATTTTCCAATGCTATGTTTATCTTGACGAAGTAGTCTGACGTTAATGCTATCAATATAGAACAGCCCAATAAAAAATTTGATATAAAAATTCCATAAAAATATTAAGTTTTATAACGTATAACTTTTATGGAAAA